CCCCCCCCCCCAGCAGTTAAACGAGACCTTAAGCTGCTCATATTTGATTCATCTTGGGTAGGGTTCATTCATTTAAGGACTGGCGTTTTCCTGCATTTTCCCCCACACAGCCCCTTTCTGTGTACAGGAGTTTTGTTTATGGGGCATTTACGGATTCATGGCCTTGGTCTGGAGTTTCCAGATCAATCACACGGCACAGGGGCAGGCTGCACCTGGGATGCGACAGACCCGCTCTTCATGGCGGGGAGCCTCTCCACCAGACTGCTGCAAGGCGAGGAGTTCGGCTCCCTGCACATCCCCCCGCGTTGCTGGCCAGGCCAGCCCGGACAGACACACAGCAGCAAGGCCGCGTCCTCTCAGGAGGCCAGTCCAACACTCCCGCCAAGACACGTCGTGGGAGGCTCTGTCCTGGGGGGACAAGCAGGCAGTTTTACACTCCGAAGAGAATTTTTGTTGGAAATCGTTACAGCTGCACAAAACCCAACTCTGGTAAACCTGGAGGGCAGGGAGAGCCAATTGTGCAAGCGTTTCAAGTGCCCTTTCCTATCCCTCCTCCTCCACCTCCCCACAGTCAGCCAAGCACACACAGAGGGAAAAACCACGCATTGAGATTTTCCTCATATTAAGCCTCCAGCATAACTAGCTCTTACTCAGGAGATGCCACGAACAGTGCGTAACCTTAACAATTCACAGATGCCAACAGAAGTTGTTTTAATTGCAGTTTGACACCTTTGGTGCACTAAATGCTGTAAAAAAAGTTCAAGTGAACCTCTGGTAGCCTACAAATGCTGGGCTCAATTAATTAAGACGAGCTTCTAGCACGTTTCATACAGACACAATGCATGCAGAAGGAGTCTGAGTTTAGATATCATGCAAACTAGCAGCAAAATGGATTGAGGGAATAAAAAAACAAAATCCCATCAGTAGCATTTAACTGTGTATTGCTAGTCAGAAGGAGATTTGGCTGGCAGATTGAGAAAACTCCTCTCAAGTTAATCTCCTTAGTGCGCTGCAGAAAAGTACAAAATGGAAAAAGGGAAATACCAAATAAAACGATTACCCATCAGTCCATCAAAAATGCCTTTCCTAATAAAAAGGCAGCAGCTTGACAAAACTAGGTGTTATACTTTTAAATTACAGATTCTTTATTCAAGCACTCACCTGAAAGATAACCCCCCCCTCTTCCTGCCAGCATTATTTCTGCACTGGAAGCAGCAGATGACAGCCACCCCATAGCTGCTTTACTGTCAGCAGGGCGGACCAGCCATCCGACACGTGGTTGTGAAAGCCAGGGGTCACTGACAGGGGCCAGCCTTAGCCTAGGGAGGTGACTGGTCTTGGGCTGGCTGGGTGGTCAAGGGACAGACACGGGCTCCCTCACACAGGAACCTGGACTGGCTAAAGAAGGTTCTGCTCCGGGCTACCCTCTGCAGGGAGCTATTTCTTCTGTCTGTTGACTGAAGAGATTACCCCTCAGTAAGCCAGAAACACGCTTCAGGCCACAGAGATTTTCCCCCTTTGCACTAGACTACACTGTATTTATAGATCAGAAGATGTATTTGTTATGTTCCCCCCTCAGCAGTATTTTAGGACATGAAACTCTCTTCTTCCTTTCTCTCTTCACTTCTCCCCTCACGTCCCGCAGCTTAAAACTGGTTCCTCAGACCACTGCAAGGAACAGAGTGACCAGATACTACCTTTAAAATCCAGCATCTGTATGAGTAAGTCCACAGAAGTACTTTTCCTTACCGCTGTATTATTCCTGAAATGTTGATATTACAGTCTAGTAAAACAGAATTTTGCTTCAGACAGTAATTGCATCAGATGTGGCAATAAAATACACTCAAGAGCCCTTAGAGTAAATACATTTGGTCGTACCCCAGCCCTCTAACCTGCCGGCCTCTTCAGGCTGCCGGACCAGCCATACGCCCCATCTCCTCCTCCGTGCCAGGACAAGTGTCTGCGCGACGGGGCACGGAGCCAGGCTGGGAGGTGGAGCTGGGTGAGAAGCGGCTCCAGAGAAGGGAAGAAACCAAGCGACACGAAAAGGGTCGAGCTCGGCTTGGTAACCAATTACCAGCGTCCTGGCAGCACCAGGAGACACACTGGCACGCGGGACGGGCCTGGGCCACTTTTGGCAACAGCGTGAGTCGACGCCAGTTTGCCCGGGCGGTGCAGCCTCAGGGGAGTCCCCGAGAGACAGGCACCGCGAGTAACAGCCTCCCGCACAGCCGGGTACCGAGAGGCACCCGGTGTTCTCCGCACAGACTCCACCAGCTCCAGCACCGCCGTGGACAGGGCTATCCTGAGAAGAACGATGCCTTACAGCTGTACTCGTGTTTATTCCCTTCCTGCCACTCAGACGTCGCTATGTCAGTATAAGCAGCTTTAAACTGATACACCAATTTCACTGTCACAATGACTGAACTGCGCTAAGTACATATCTTGGATTAGAAACACTTCAATATTTCTACATACATCAAGCCAGGAAAGTCAAAACGTGAATAAAATGAAGAATCACCTACAGTTCCTCCTTTCTGAGGTCTATTCTTCAAGCACATATCTGAGCAAATGAAGAAAAAAAAAATCTATCTTGCATAAAACTAACACATCCAAGATGCCACAATTTCATGTACGTTTATTCCTTCAGTGCGGACTAAAATAAAATGCAGTATTTCATTGTATTGAATATGATCAGTCGTTACTGCTACCAGAAAAGACACTTCCTGTATACATAAATCAAGCACCTATGTGTCTGTCTAGCAGAAGGACAAGAAGTTTTTTCTTTAAGTGAAGGTGTGCAAAACATTGAGTATTGTGTCGTCATGCAGAAGTAAAAAGTTAATCATTACCAGGATTTCTCAGCACATCTGACTGATGCTGCATTACGAAGAAGAAGGAAGATGGGAATTGAAGTGATCTTACCATGTGGCATGAAATTTAGTCACAGTTTAGCTCATAATAATAAGAAAGTGAAATTTGGTAATGGCCAGAAGGCATTGGGTTTTAACTGGACAAACGGAGCTATGCTCCTTTAAAAGCACTTAAGGGTATTTCTCAGCCTGGCACAGAGGGCAGAAGTCACATGTGTGATTTCAATAAAGACCCCAACATTTCTTCAGCCACTTGACAGACTTTTTGAAATCTCGCATCACTTCATTATCCATACGTTTAGGATTCCAGTCCAAGATTAAGTACCTCTTTACAGGATGGCATTCGTAGTAGGTTTCAGATCAGGAAGATCCGTAAGGACGCGCTGTCTTTCCACAATGCAGCTGTGTATTCCCCCTGCCAGTCATGCCTACCCCAGCCATTCAGCTACTGAACACATAACGCTCATGTACTCACACTCCCAGACAAACGGCACTTCAGACTAGCTCTGCACGAGGAGCTGCATGTGGCAACACCCAGCCTCGCCACGCCGAACACATTTTGACTCACTGGCCCTGATAAATATCCCTATAAATAAACAAACAGCTGCACTCTGAATCCACTTACAAACAGCAAGCCGCTTCCGCACCATTTTACATGTGCTGTAACACTGCACCGACGGACCAGGAATGAAGAAGCTGATGCCACTTGAAGACGGCTCTTCACACAGAATACCTGATGTCCACCCCAATCAGCCTCCCCAACGATGGAACCTGCAAACCTGCACCCCGTCCAGGCAGTTCCAGGTGCCAGAGACACACAGCCCACCACGCACGACAGAATGCTCTTCCCTGCGTACCGATAAGCTCTTGTTTTGGGAGAAATAGCAAAAATCACTTAAAGCAATGAGGCTTGCAGAGTGGTCACCTTAATTTCTGGTGACCTTCAGCTTTCAGACCTCCAATTACAGCAAGAAAGGTTATTTCTGTCTATGTCTTTTTTTGTTTTTTTTTTAACCTAACTGACATGTTTCTGAAAAAAACCCACTAAATCCTCACCAAGTTTAAGGGAAAACCATACAGATGTTTTTGAACAGCAAGGAAAAAGCAGCACTGCTACAGATATCAGTTATAACGAGACATATATGATAGGACTCAGACTTCTGTTCCTGTGGCAAGAGAAATTCCTTTATTTTTAAGCACCCTAGATTTCCCAAATAAACTTGTAGACATTTTATCCTTTTTTTTTTTCCCCTGCACAATTTAAATATCACATTGAATAGATTTAACTGCTTTATTCTGAAAGGCTTTGTTGGATTTTTTTTTCTGCTGGACAAGACAAAATAAGACAAAGCTTGAAAAGATATTTTATATAAAGTCTTTGCAATAAAAGATGCACTAGCAGCTTTCAAACTTTCTAGATCATGGACAAATATGAAAATCTCACACACCTTCTGATGTCCTTCGCTGTCAAATTTTCAACTAACAAACAATACAGTGTGGGTCCTCAGAGCAGTGAAGCTCTATTTATTATGGCATGATTTATACACCACAACTTGGAAAACACTGAATAATACAACATTCACAACATGGGCAGGCACCTGCAAGAGCG